CTGGAACAAGGAGAAAGAGCAAGGGCATGGCCTGGGCCCTAACCGCAGCTCTTTCGTGCTAGAGGTACAGCTTTAGGTTCTCCCTTAAACCTCCCGCCATCCAGTTCCCTCATCTCTAAAACAGACACAATGTGTATCGGCTTCCTCAGAGGGAGGCTTCCGAGAGCGCTGTATAGGAAGTGTAATGAAAACAGTTTGGGTTTTCAACTGGCTAGACTTTTATATGATGTATGTAGAATTAAGGTGTCTCTTCATTCAGTGTTGAATATACATATACATATACAACACTGAATTCTTAAATTGTTTACAAGTTGTTTCAGTAGAACAATAGTTCCAAGCCGTATGTTCTCAGTCATGAATATTTAATAAGGATCTCAAGACAAGACTTCAAATGGTTTAAGTGGAAGGACCCAGTATGTATATAGTCACTCATCTACCCAACCATCCATCCATCCATCCATCCATCCTTCATCCACATCAAATGCTGGCCTGTGATCCTGTGAAGTCCAGCTACATTAGAATCACTGGAGACCTTAAAACAAGACAAAGCAGGTCCAAACCACATGCTCAGAGATTCAGTAGGTCTGGGTTGGACTCAGAAATCTATATAAGATAAGGGTTCAGAGGATGTGGTTTCCTTGCTCTGGGAGGAAATATCAAGGAAAACGTGGGAGTATGAGGACTTAAGATGAGCCTCAAATAAAGGATGGATTCAGCTGGACGGGGAGAGGCGGGCTCAGCACAAGCAGGGGAGGGGGAACACACAGAGGCCCTTCCCAGCACGGTTCCCTGGAGCAAGAGAATTGTTAGAAGGTCTAAAATGTTACTACTCCACAGATGCTGCAGTTAGATTTGTTTCTAGAGGAATGTGACTAAATACGCGAGTTGTTAGTACATGACAGGTGAAAGAAAAGATCATATTGTTAAATGAATTTGAGAAGCACTGTGATAAACACCGCCAGGGGCTCACTGACTTCTCAGCGCCCTTGACAGGCTGATGATGTACACTGCCAAGGTCACACGGGCAAGAATGTGCCATGTTTCCCAAATGTATTTGACCACAGAACCTGTTTTTCTTAATGTGTCAAGGTCCCATGGAACTCACTTTGGGAGGGACTCCCCCTCTCTGTATGTACCAGGACACACATACACACTTGCGTCTACACACTTAAGCACATGTCTTATAGTAGTAGGTGGTTTCAGTTTCTACCCTTTTCTGGTGTCCAAACCCTCGTACAGCACCTGCTGGGCTCGCAGCTGTCGACGCTCATGGGTTTCTTGAGTCTTTAAGCAGCTCAGTTTTCCTCCTGTCTCAGGGAGAGCTGTTAGAAGGTATCATTTATTACTGGAATTGACAGTCACACTTAGGATTTCAAATCCAGCAGGCCTCCACCTAGGACTATCAGGCATGCCTACTTCTCATTTAATCAAGACACCAGGCAAGGCTCGGATTATTTAAACCCTTCTGTTTGTCCAAACAGTCTCCCCAGGCTAGCGCTGGGTCCAACCACCACGGTCAGGACCGTGCCTGTGCCCGCAAGCCCCCGCACTCCCCGCGTCTGCCCTTTGCGGGGTGGGCCTACCCATCCCCCAGCCACTGCTTCAGCTGTGGTTATAACAAGGCGCGGCTGCCCCGCTTCTGAGAGAGGGAGGCCACCTTGCCCAGAGAAGGCGTGCCCCACCCCTATCCATCAGGGAAGGCCCACAGCCATGGACTGACCAGAATAAGGGCATGAGATGCTGCTCCTTGGCCTCGAGGAGGTTCAGAGAGCCCAGGCTTGACTCTCCCTTCCTCTCTCCCTCACAGGTTCTTCCAGAAATGCACACCTTTGTACATCACTTTCAGAGGACACCTGAGACACTGCTTCTAAGAAATCTCATCTGAGGCACCATCTACCGTGATGGTGACCCGAGTCTCTGATGTGGCCGAGACCATCAGGAGGCCACCTCTAACAGCCGCCCCCACGTCATCCTGGTTGATGGCTCAGCCGTGTTTGGTGCTGTCGATGCTCACCTTTTAACTAAGCGTCTTTCCTCAATCTGTCCTCTGCAACCACCTTCTCTCCTGACCTCCCAGGATATGGCACAGGTACCCTGACACTGTGTGTCAAAGCATCACCTACTCAGGTGATAGATATGACTCATCACTAAATGTGCGACTTCCCACGACTAAACATGTCCACATCACTGGCTCTCTACTATCTCATCCCACGTCACTGTCCACAGGCACCCCACCCGCCTGCACCCCTCATTTCCCCCATCCAAACGAGTCAGCAAGTCTCATCAAGTCTCCCCTGAGCACCTCCAGCTTTCATGCTCGCTCCTCAGTCCCCACAGCTGTGTTTTGGGTTCTCATCAGTTTTTGCCCAGGCTATTGAAATACCCTAACTTACCTATCTTCAGGTTTGCCTCCCAACCCAACATTTCTCATGTGTGAATTTGCACATTTTTTTGCTTAATGTGCGTCAATGTGTCCTCACTCACCAGAGACCTGGGTCCGAACTCCTTGGCACATCTCATAAGCTGTGTGCAAATGGATTCCAGCCACCCCCTCCAGCACCCCCGTTCTGCCGCTCAGCCGCCATCCTCCCATGTGACTCACCCCATTGCTAAACCCCTTCCTGGACCTCCACGTGGCATGCTGTTCCCTCTGCCTGGGATGATCTTGCTTCAACTGGTTTCCCGGATGAAGCCTCAATTACCCTTTATGACTTAAACTAAGCATTGCCTCTACCACGACCTTGACCGACTCTCCACGGGTGGCAACGACATTCTCCTCTGAGCCTGCAGAACACGTGATTCTACTTCAGCACTTACCGTACATCCTGGAAGAGGCCTGGGCCCTCTGCCACGCACGCCACTGGTGATATGGGCGGCTATTTTGATCAGCTCTGTCAACACATCCAAGTAAAATGCTTACGTCAAGTCATGAACAGCGGGTTGTGCTATTCAACCTCACGCCTCAGTACCACTGAGCTACTACAAGTCAAGGTCACGTGCGATTGAGGCAACGAGGCAGATGCTGCTAGCTGTTTACTAAGACGTATTTCCTCTCCTTCCTGGGAGACAGTCTACACTTCCTAGCTCCCTTGCAGTTAGGTTCTAGCCAGTACAAAGCGAGCAGAAGTAATGAGTTCACTCCCAGGCCCGGCCCATAACCTCCCCTGAGTGTTCTTCCACACTTTTCTCCCTTCCGGTTGACCAAGATGGGGACCCCCAGGGCAAGCAGGAAGAGAAAGTGAGGGAGGGGCTGTCCTGGGCCTCTGAGTGGCTGCATGGAGCAGAGCCCCGCCAACAGGAGCATCCTCCTTGTCCCACAAGCAGGGAACAAACTCGTATTGTGTTTGAGTCACTGTGGTTTGGGGGCATATTTCTGGCAGTAGTTAACATTATCCTAACATGGACAGGCACTGTGGCACAGCCATTATAACACAAAGGACATGATGATACAGCCTAAGAAAAACCTTAAGCTTAAAATTACGGAGTATTGTGCACAACAGTTGCGTTCTCTTCTGAGTCTCAGCCCATCAGTGTCAGCTCAGCTCTGTGTGAGCCTAAGAACCGGGTGAAAGTCGGGGCCAACCCACTCACTGCGAGGTGAGTGCTGAGCTAGTGAGCCACCGCAGCGAGCTGCCCAGCTAGGAAACCCCACGTCCTGGAGAGAACGTGTAACCGTGCAACTTAGTCTTTAAGTCTAGGTTATTTATTACACACAGATTGCTTCTCTGTATTAACAGCTCACCTAAAACTCCAGGTGTCCAAAGCATGCTTCACGTTTCCCATCAGACTGTGCTCATTCATCTTCGCATCAGCAAGAGCTGGCTTAGCATCTAACACACAGTAGGTGCTCAGGAAACGTTTCTCAGATATTGCTGGAGGAATTCAAAGAAATGCCAGGCTGCATGTTTCACTGCTCTTTGTGACATTCACAATTACTCCTTCCAGCATCACCCACTTTACAAATGAAAACATTTTTGATTCTGGGCAGTCACAATTGTAATACACCATCCATCAAGGAATAAAACGTTTATAGCTGAGGCACAGTCAGCCTGCAGATGAAGTGATATATTAACTTCTTGATCGAATGCCAGAACTTACAGATGAGTATGAAACAGACATCAATAATTACAGCTTGTGCCACAGATGCTGGTTTCCAAACCTTTCAGTTCAATGAACAAGTAATAACTGGACAGACACACCTTTCAGAAATTAGAGGTGGGAAAAGATTACCTCATTCCATACCTGTCACACAGCAGGCCCCCTGCGGCAACTCAGCAAGAGGCAGCCCATGGCCCTGGAGAGGTGTGGGCCAGGGCTTCTAAACGACGTCGGTGAGCACACAGGAGGAACGTCGGGCAGGGGCATCCAGGAGCCGAGGCTTCTCCTGGGTACTTCCCTCCTTTCCCCTTCCAGTCCCTTTATTCTGCGCTTCCTACAGAAACCTGGCCTGGGTATAAAAGGCATGCACCTAAATTCAATTTTCTTTTAAAAAATTCTATCCCACTTAGGAAACTCTTACGCTTTTTTCACTTGAATCTAAAAAGGGGCTACAAACACTAAGAAAAAGATAATTATCCCTCAGCTAATTCTTGATTTCAGAAGCACATCTGAAAACCCAGCGTACCGCACGGCATTTAATGGCTAGTCCCACCAAAGGCCTACAGCTGTGTTCTAGGGATCAAGGTCACAAAAGCTAGCGCGGCAGGAAGCTCCTCTGACAACACTGCTGTATTTGAAGAAACTCTAGCAAAATGAACACACATCTCCAGAATATTCACAGGTGAGTAGGAGGAGATACTCCTGAAGAAGCAACACGCTTCATTTTACCATAAGAAACTCTGGTTACAGCTACAACACTGAGAGGGAGTGCGTATGTGTCTTTTAAGGCGAGTTGTGTGGAGGGAGGATAAAATAATAAAGACTAAAGAATGCAGTTCTATTCATTTTATCAAAATCTACAGAGCACCCCAACCTCAAAAATAGAAAATGGGCCTCCTGTCTCAGAATGCTACCAAGGTCAGGAATATACATATACACACACACATATACATATGTATGTATATATAAAAAGTAATCTTTTGACAGTTCACTGAAATTTAGTGTATATACTCTACTTTTTAGCAGAAAGTCTCCCACTAATTTAAATCTGAAAACTTAGAATGATGCTCTGATTATTTCATAACAAAAATTAACCCCTTAAAATGCATTGCCCTGGGTTTATGACTTAGACTTTTCAAAGTATTTTCCGATCCATTACCATGTTAGTAGGCACTGATGCTACAAATACCAATCTACATTTGGTCTTGGAAAAAGATTTTCATGTACGTATTTTGTCCAAATATTACTATTTGTTTCATGAAAGTCAAGGCTAAGACTTTAGCAGAGTGTAAATTTTAAGCCAATGAATAAACAGTTGGCCTGAAAAAACACTAAATTGACATGCAAAGCATTTGCTACTCTGCCAGATACTAAAAATAAAAGCAACTTCTGCCAACATGGAAAAACTTGATTTCAGTTGGTTCTGAATTTTACTACCACGTTTCACTAAGCTAATTTTCCAAAATGGGGCCTGACATTAATGTTCTATTACCTCGTCTCCTCAAACTTTACCTCTTAAAAAAATTACACACAATTGGCATCTTATTTAAATATCAATCTCATATAACATTTTTTATAGTTTAGCAGGACATATATTTCTAAAAATGTGATATCTTTACCTAACAAATGAAAATTTGGACTTCTGAAAATTAACCTTCATATTTTAAGAATGAAATTCAAACTTGTCTCAGAGTAAAGAATAATCTAAGTTATTAAAATATTTACAAGATAACATTTTACACAAAAGGTATCAGGAAAATCAGTAGACTTTAAAGGTGAGGTTTCAAGCTGTTACTCAAAGTCCAGATAACATTTCATTCCTGTCCTTGGCCTGCCCCTCCCTGAGCTGTCTTTCTAAAAAAATAAGCGTGTTTAAAATATGGAGTTTGAGATTTATGATCAGTTGCAGAAACCTGTTTAACTACTGATTTATAGTTCTGGCCAAGGTATTTAACTCTGTCATCAGAACTAATTATAGCAAACCTGAGATTATATATTCAAACTCTCCTTCTGGTGAAAGAAGCAGAATGTTCTGCTGAAAATGAGAAACATCCTGAGGGCTCCCAAAGAAGAATGCACCATCAGCTCCACTTCTCAGAGCCAGCGCTGTAAAGCTCAAAATCACTGTTCTCTAGTAAGGTGTTTTAGCCTGAAGTACTTACACAGTAAATCACAGTTACATTAACGCCATACCCATGGCCCGAAACATATTAATCTCAGTTAACAATAACTGACATTTACATTACTAATCTAATTCAGGCATTCTGCTGGTAGTAAATGCACATGTTAAAGCTTCAGGAACTGAAGTTATTACCGATCCAAAAAGAATCCTTATTTTGCTGTGACCAGATGGAGAGGGCAAATGACTACACTTTAGGGGCAACCTGGGTATTCTAAGAATAATGTCCCCATTTTAATGCTTTAATGAGTAAAATGTCTAATTCGAATTAAAGCAGATTAAAAATAAAGTGGTCCCAAATGACGTGCCAGCAGGGCTAACCCCAGACATCCAGGCCCTTCCTCCCCCTTAAATCCTCTTCCCCTCCCACTCCCTCCTCTTACGGGCTGTGTTCTGGAGCCTTTCACAAGCCAGGCCCCCGAACGGTGGGGGCTTACATGACATGGCTCCTCTTATCAAATGAGTCCCCTGCTGCCTGATTCCACCACAGAGCCTTCCACTCAGGGAAAACGCTGCCATCCTGAGATGGACGTGAGACCCCTGGGCAGGGCGGAGTGGGCAACTGCCAGCCATGGAGCAGGCAGAAGATGGGCTTCGACAGCTGGTCTCTGGGTCAGAGGCTCCCAAATCAGACCCTAAAGGAGGCCACTCTGCCAGGCCTCAGCATGAGTAGAGTGGGAAACGTGCCTGCAGGGCTCACTAAATGCCCTAAGGAAGTAGACACACACAGGAGAAGACAAACCGGCCAGAGACTGCAGGGTGATGCCCGTCTCAGGGCGCGAGAATACTCACACTTGCTCACACCGCCCGCCTGCTCAAAGGGAACAGTCCTCACACTCCAGACAAAACCACTGCGTCGTACAGTGGCTCGTTCCCCCGTCAGGGACCTTTTAGAGGAAAAATTTCCTATGCTCTCAGTTTGTATTCACCTATTAGGAGCTGGAAATAAGATGTTGTAGGTAAACCATGTTATGATTATATCAACAAAACCCAACAGGAAATATTAAATCATAAAATGTAAGGTTTTCCAATATTTGACCTGAACATCTTTTCATGATGAATTCTTTAAGTACATATACCATCTCCTAAAAACTTGCTTTCTCTATACGGCTTTTGTCACCTAAGCGGGAGCAAAATAGGATTTCTGTTCTCTTAAACAGCAACTAATTGCTCACTTATTCCAGAACATAGAAAAAAAATTCAATATGCCACCATAAATTAGTAAAATTTGGTTACTATTTGTAAGTCTAAAAATAACAAAAAATACTACTAATAATGTAATTATAATCATGATTCACTTTCCACGTTCCTGAATCCATATTATCACCTAGAGGAAGGCGGAGGCGAAGGCTGAGGAAGGGAACTGATGGAAACCACAATAAGCCGTTAGTTCTTCACCTCTACTGAGCTCCAAGAGGGAGGTGCCAGAACACCAATGGCCTGCCAAAAAGTCAGAACGTCCGGCTGCGGTCTTGTTCACCAGCTTGTCACCGGATTTCTCCAAGCCCCTTCTGACTAGGGCTAGGAAGCACACTTCTAATGAAAACCACTTCCCATGGCCCCACTCCCCCTTTTATCCTCATTTATTCATTCAATCTTTAAAGGAGTAATGGGGAAGAGGAGTAAAACACAATCACACCAAGTTCTTAGATGGTTCAAAATTACAGTGTCTTGAGTTATAACCATCTGAAACAACTACACCAACTTCTCTTCTAAGAATCATCTCATAATTTAAAGGATGACATGGCTGAGAAGAGAGATACTGAGGAAGACATTTCCAGGCAGAGCTGAATTTAAATCAACCTCCAAACACTACATTCTGTCCTTTTCTAAAAATTGTGTTATTTAATCTGAAGGTACCCAAAAATTCACCAAGTGCTTTTATTATGTGACTGTGAAATATCAACTCTTTTGCTCCCAATAAAGAACCAATAATTACTTTTATAACACTAAGATAATTAAAGTCATCTGTAAAGACAGTATCAGTTGAGACCTTCTTGCACTTGGAACTAATCCATTATAAACAAATGCCAATCTTAAACACCCAGCACCAGAGTAAGTGCAGTGACCAGGAGTCCAGACAAGAAAGGAGCTCATTGGCTATGCAACGCCAAATGGATGAAAGATAAAACTGATTTTAGACTGGAGGTCTATGTAAATAAATAAATAAAACCCTATCTTTCCTTCCCCATATGTGTGCTTCGATTTCTTGCACATATAAGAGAATGCTCCATTTCATTCACTTCAATGGGATGAACTCTGGAAAAAGACTGAAAAGATTTGATAATCAACTCCCAAATTTTATGCTTATTTTTCCTACTTTTATCGATTTCCTGACATAGTTAACATAAGCAGGCGAATCTTCTCAGTAAATCAAGCAACTGAAGACTCTAGTGAAGCCTCAAAGGTCTTGACAGCTGGCAAGTCACATATATCCCATGTTACTTTTGGTTTCCCACCTCTTCTTTGCTTCAAACCTAAAACAAAGAAAATCTCAACTTATTTCTAAATACTTTCCTGAAGTAACATGTTTACTAAGTGTCAAAGTAAAATAAACTTAAAAAGCTTTCACATACTCCATCAATTACAAAATAAACATCAAACAGGATGAAGAAATGCCTCCCCCCACTATGATCTGATAAACATTCAGCCAAGATACAAAGAATAAAATGAATAACAATTCACACACAAACTGGATTCACAAAATGTATCAAAGGAGCTCTGTAATTCCTATGAAGTTAGTAGAATTACTAATAAAAATCTTTAATTTACCCCCAGGCAAGTTTCTTCTTTTTTCGAGCAACTTGTGAATTTTCAGCATCCTTTTTGGCTTTTACAAAGTTGTGGCAGGCAATCGCTTTGGCAATTTTTACACCAAGCTAAGAATTATAAAGGAGAAAAAGGAAAAAAATGAAAATAAATATTCCAGCTGACACAAAAACTACAATGACACAAACATTCGAGAGCTTGTGGGTAAGAAAGTGATGTCTACATTGCTTTGGACATGCTGAGAACAGAAATTATTAGGCTCAGGCCCCCTTGACCACCAAAATACAACCAATGCAAAGCTGTAGCCCCTACTCCCTCATCTCCTCACCCCAGGTGCACCAGTCTCCCAGACGGAGATCCTTCCCACGCTAAGGCCCCTCGAGGGTCCACAAGGGCTGTGGATGAAGATCTTGAAGCTATTTCAGCATTTCAGTAGCCAGACAGGAATTTACCCCTGATAAGGCTGCGCAGACTGACAGAGACATCAAGTTTCTTTGCTCTGGGCGAGAATTATAGCAACTCAGTATGGTCACACTGGTTATCTCATGCTGATCAGGAGCTCTGATTGGCAGTCATAGATGTGATTAATAAAACATGGGAAAGCTAATTACTACCTCATAAACACACTTTGTGTGATGGGCAATAGCTTCTCACTCACTGACAGAAAAAAGAATGTAAGGAGTTCTAAGAGGCAAAAAGGTGGGGCACCGGGACCACAGAACCTAAGTGTTCCCCCTGGGAGGCCCTCCATTCACGCTCCTCCTTCCGCCCACCCACCCCAGTCCTGGAAGGTCCAAGCAAAACAGCCTCCTCTCAGCCCCATCCTCCAGTCTTCTCTAAGTCACCCCTGAAACAGTCTTTGTTTCTGTATTTCTCCAGCCCTTCAGCTTCTAGGCCATAACCTATGGTTTTCACGCTGTGCACCGCACAGCTCTCTGGCCGAGAGCTGTTGCCCAGGGAGTGTCTCCAGGACAGGCACGGTGACCTAGTTTCAGTGGGCTCTGATCTTAAAAACTCCTGCCACCCGGATGACTCAAAAGTATCTGCTCAGAACCCAGGTTAAACAACAAGGGCTAAAAATCTCTTTCTGGTGTTTCCTTTTCCATCTCTGCACTCAGCCCAGAGCATTTCAGCAGACAGCACACTCGTGGGCAGGCAGAAAGGACCCGGAAGCCACTCGCAAGTCAAAGCATCACCGCCCGCGCTTTAGGACCTGCCTGCCAATAAGGAGGCAGGCAGGCAGGCGGCTAAAGGAGAGAAGCTGACTTAGGAAAGTAGGGTTCGGTATGTCTGACACTCCTTTCAGCTTCTCTTGGAGAACAGTGAGGATAAAGCAAACAAGCAGTCATCAAGCACCAACCGGGGTTTACAAATAAGAACAAAAGTAAATCTGGTTTTTCAGTCCAGGAAAGAATACACACAAAGAATGCAAGTAAATGGAAGCGACCTGACAAACTGGTCAATACTAGAAGGAAAGCCACTGAAGGAAGGTGACTGATGGTGACCACGAGCCCACCTGGAAAAGCAGACCAGCCTCAGTCTTCGCAACATGCAAGCCGACACCAGCAGCACTACAGCTATCATCATCTTTTTTCACAAGGGCAACATTCACTCAACAAATATCACGTAGGCACAGACGCAGTATTCTGCCAGGCACTGTTGTAGACACTGGAGACACGGCTTTGAACAAAACAGGGCTTATTTTCAAACTAGGGGGCTGGGGAGAAGGGGTTGCCAGCTACATCTGACTGCTCCCTTCCTGACCTTGTCCCCTTAGCTCCCTTTTCATTCCCAGTTCCTTATCATAGAAAAGATCATCTAAGTCAACTAAAAAAAGGATAAGAATCAAAGGTCTGTAGCCTCACCATCTAAGGAGAAAAATGAAACTCTGGAAGAATGCTGTGGCATAATTTATCACTAAGATGGATTTCCTATTGACTAAAAAGCCATCCACTTGTCACAAATGTTAAAAAAACAAGACAGCACCTGCCTGGTAAGGCTAGCCAAAACTGCAGCAACAAACAAATCCCCAAACTTCACTGGCTGAACTTTCACTCCTTGTCTCACTTAAAGTCAGCTGTGGACTGGGAGGGGCTCTCCATCGTGTGGTGCCAGCATCTCAACATGTGGCTTTAGAGGTCACTGTGGTAGAGGAAGAGAGAGCTGAAGGGTCTCCTGCGGGCTCTTCAACGCTGTAGTCCAGAAGTGACACACGGCACTTCTGCTCACAGCCCTCTGGTCGGAACGACTCACACAACTCCAGCTAGCTGTGAGGTGGCACACTGGGGGCACAGTCAATGCACCTAAGGGACTGTCTACTGTCATAACTTGCAGTCTGCTGCCTGCGTCTAAGACGTACACTGGGTCTCTCCACATTCATGTAGGATATTTAGTCTCCTCTCTGTCCCCCAGCTCTAAAAGGTAAAACACAGAGCTCTCTATTTATAGTCTATCTGATCATACTCCCACATGTCAGACATCAAATGCAAATTTGATATGATGTAGTTTTCCAAGACTGCCCCCCAACAAAAGTCCCACTCAGTTGAAGACATATTTAAATTGAGCCTGTACTTTGAGTATGAAACAAAAATGACCCAAACTATATTTGCCATGTACCATCAACCACATTATAAAATTATTTCCTGAAACTGTTGTAAATGAAGATGTAGCTTACTTACATTTTTAGCTTACTGAAATTTCCCAATATGGGTTTTCTGGATTTGGGATAGACAAACTGAATAGCATCTCAATGTATCTGGACACGAGGTCATTTGATTTAAACAGGACTCCTCATCTCAACACGGTCACATAATCTTAGAATATAACGTAAAAGCTTTTCATTTTCTAGCAATATGAAGGCAAAATCCAGCACCATTGATATCACAGTAAAGATTTAGAGCACACGTGCCATAAGACATAGTATAAACTTGTTAAAAAGAATCCAGTATCATGTAAGAGACACGCATTTACATGAGAGGTCTCCATCACTTTGTAGACTAAGTAAATACAATGAAAGACTGCACACACAGGCAACACTTTCAAACAGACCTGTTTGTATGGAAGGTACATTTTCTAGCTATATTTTGCCTGGGGTTAGATTAAATGGAATGTTCTTTAACTGACAAACATTAAACAAGCCTGGTCTATGCATTTTACAGAAAGAATCTTTTAGTTTGTAATGATGATGAGAAGGCATATCAATTTTGTGTCCTTCACATGCTTAAAATGAAATGTGTTTCACTTATTCCTGTGGCAAAAGTAAAAAGAGCAGTATTTGGAAATATGAAAGAATCATAAGATCGCCTATAGAAGAGACTGTTGAGAAACATTTTCCCAGGCAAGATGACTAACCCAAGTTCCAGAAGATAAAAGAATATCATGCTATGTTTCAGTATTACAGACAATATAGGCCCACAAGAATCGCTCCTTTGCGTCCGTAAAAAGAAAAATGCATCTTTATGCCCCATGTAAACATTCCAAAAGCTTGATCGATGGTTTTTACACTAAAAATCTGTTTCAGGTCATCAGATAACTACAGTAACACAATGTGGGGAGAAATTTTCTTAAAGGAATAAAAATATATACAGAATTCCTTGTATGTGTAGCCAAAGTATCAGCATTTTCCATATAGAACATCCAATATTTTGCTGCATTTTAATTAAGGTGTCTAAACATTATCACAAAGAACTGCAAATTGGTCAGAGCAAGCGGTAAGGAAAATTAAGCTCTAAAGGCTTTTTATCGCCATATTTCAGGAACCAAGGGTGTAAAATGTTCTAATTTGGGATATATTAAAAGCCATAAAAGGTCTTTCAAAAAGATTAATGGTACTTTGCTTGGATTTCAGATAAGGGCTTTAGCTGGTTGGAAAAGCAGGGCCCTGGCTGGACCCTTGGGGCATCCATCTTTACAGCCACTTGGAAGATTTGTAAAAGCGTCTGCATAACCTCAAGCAAATGCACGGCGACATTTTTTTAATTCCTTTCAATCTTACACGTTTAGCATGTGTAAGTCATATTGGGTTGTAAAATAGATATAATAGCACATCTTGTAACATAGCAGAGATTTTTAAAAGACAAAACTTTCAAAATAAAGTTAGTTTTTGCTAACCCTTGCCATTCTGAAGTTTGCTGATAATCGTTTGAAGCATCTGATTCAAATAGCTTAATCCAGCATAACTGTAAACTTCTTCTCCATTTCAAAAAATATTTCACTCATCTCAAAATTACTAGCTTGCAACAGAGTTATGAAGTTTTCCTCCCTTTTGAACACGTGCAAGGCACTTATTTAAAAATACCAATTATCATACTTTAACTCTTTATGGAATAATAGGTCTCTATGAAAAATATTTATGCCATTCTCTTTTGTTCTTTAATTAAATGAAAACAGATGTTTTCTGAAGTAAAGCGGAACCATTACTGGAGTACTTAAAGCGTTAAGGTCTTTAATTTTTATATCAGTTTGGTCGACAATTCCTGATTGTCTTTACTCAAGCTCAACATTAATGTCAAGCAAGTTACCTAGGAGACGAAAGAGATCAAAGAGACAAAAACCCCTCCAAAGTCTGATTAATCAAGCCTGCAAACAGCTTATTTCTTTTCGCCTGCATGCAAGTATGAAAATGAGATTCTGGGAGCCGAACATTGTGCAGATTTGTTCATTCTTATCAGAACAAAGCCAGCGGCAGCTTATTTCATGGATCATTGGCACTGTCATCAGTGCTACACAGAACGGGTGACAGCTCCTCATTTTGAGGCTTGAACAAAATTAGCAAAAAGTCGGCACAAATTAGCCTCTCATCTTTTTGGTAATATGACATTATTCATTTACTTTTTATCCAATTTTTAATTTTTTCCTTGTCAGCTATCCCTTTCTAGTGTCTCTTGCATGGCATCGTAAAATGCCTTCTTAAAAACAAGCAGAGAAATAGCCAAAGTTGAAATAACATGCAAAGTTCAAAGAGCAAATAAGAAAAAGAACTTCCAATGACTGGTGATGCTTTATTTTTTATAACTTTCAAAACTTTGCATGCATATTGATAAACAGCTCAGAACACCATGCAGTTAAGGAGTTTTATGAAATCAGTAGTATATTTCAATAAAGAATACGA